TATTCTTCTGTAATAAATCTTGAATCTGTTTTCGTGTACAAAGAAAAATATAATTCAGTGTATTCACCAAAATCATGGTTAAATATGAATATGATAGCTCATAAAACCTTTTTAAAAGTCCTTGAACCAATATCAATAATGATGGAAAAAAATTATATACCAGATAAAGAAGCACCAAATTCATTTAATGAAGAACTTTGGAGAGAATATTTCAATTGTCTTTTATGTCTGCTTACCAGTAGACATCTAGTGATTGAAGATTTCACGCCACAAAAACGTCGTGCAATATGGAGGTTGGCAGGTGATATTCGTGGACAAGGAGCAAAATTATTATCAACATTATGGAATGCTATTGGATGGGAACAGGGTAAAGAAGGGAAAATGGGTGGTTATCAAGTTCGATTCATAAACACATTATTAGGTCCAATGTTAGAATTGTGTCTGTCTCATCATGATGAGTTGCGTTCTGCTGCCACCACTGTTTTATTCAGCATGATAGTAACACAATATATGCTAGAAAAAGATTTGAAACAAATTGAATCAGACATTATTGATATATTTGATAGACTTTTCATGTCTGAAACTAAAGGTGACGAAATGTCTTGCTCATATTTTATTGCACAATTGAAAGGATTATTTGAAGAATCTTTGGTCGATATGGATTTAAGAGACGCAATGATAAAGTTCTTGGATTCTTTGAATGAATTTTTAGAACTTTTACTTGGCGTTCGTGAATTACCCGAGGGTGAAGAATTCCAGGATGATCGAATTATGTGTACACTCAAACTTATGAAATTCATAAAAACTATTGAAAGGAATCAGATTTATATCAAATATGTGCATCAGCTTGTTCAAATGCAAATCAACAGTCATAATTTTGTTGAGGCAGCATTAACACTAAAATTACATTCAGATTTATACAATTGGGATCCAAATATTGAAGTGGAAGCATTACCTGAATTAAATTTCCCTAAACAATCAGCTTTTGATAGAAAGGAAAGATTATATATTCAAATATTGGGTTATTTTGTTAAGGGAAAGGCTTGGGAATATGGTATAGAAATATGCAAAGAGCTGGCCAAACAATTTGAGTGTACCACATTTGAATATCAACGTTTAAGCAATATACTTAAACAACAAGCTGTACTTCATGAGAACATTATAATGAAGGAACGCTATTTCAGTGAGTACTTCAGAGTTGGATTTTATGGTAGAGGATTTCCAGCTAGTTTACAAAATCGACAATTTATTTATCGTGGTTTTGAATGGGAAAAGATTGGTGCATTTTGCGAACGTATGCAGAACAAACACACACAAGCTCAACTACTTAAATCAAATAGCCCTCCAACTGATGACATTCTTCATGGAGATGGTCAATTCCTTCAGGTGACAGCCGTAAAACCAGAGCCTAATAAAGATCTCCCTGTATTTAAAGGAGATGTTCCATCATCTATTCGCTCCTATTATGAGTATAATTCTGTAGACACATTTAGTTTCTCCAGACCTGTGAATAAGAATCCTAATGGCATTAAATCTGGCAATGAATTCTTGGATTTATGGACAGAAAAAACCATTTTAGTTTCTAAAGACCATTTTCCAACTGTTTTACGACGATCTGAAGTGATCAAAATGACTGTGTTTGAAGTTTCACCAATTGAAAATGCAGTGACTACAATGAGATCCAAGAATAAAGAATTATTAATTTTAGAATCTAAATATAGAGCACTTCTTAATTCAAATAATGTGGGAACTGCCAAGGTCAACACTAATCCTTTAACAATGTCACTAAATGGAGCAGTGGATGCACCTGTAAATGGTGGTGTGCCCATGTATAAAAAGGCATTTTTTGATCCTGAATTCATATCAACTAATCCTGATAAAGAATAGGGTGTTGAAATATAATTATGGGATAGTTGTTAAAAAACCTTGGACTTGTGAGTTTCCGGTTGCAAGGCGTGAAGAATGTGGAAACGTAAGATTAATGCGTTGGATGGCTACTAAAGGTCAACAAGTTAAAGTTGGTCAGAAATTTTCTACATATTTTAGAATGTCCCATGAATATCAAACACATGTAATTGTGGATTTGTATATATCAGATAATATTACAACATATAGTGATGAGCCTGGTGTTTACAAGTTGGGAAAATTTACAGTAGAAGTGCCTGATGTTCATTTAGGAAAAAATAGACGTACCGAATATGAACTTTGTTTTGATCAAGATGAAATTACTGCAACTACTAAGACTCATAATGGTAGAGAATGTAAATGTAATTTTGAATTAGAATTTTAATGTCAAATATATTTATTTTAAATGACTCAAAATTTTGCGATGCATAAGTTTCACAGGAATAGTCTCGCTCAACATATTAATATATTATTAAATCAACCGTTAACTTTCGTCACATATAATTATATAAATTCAGAGAGACTCAATAATTTTCTTCTCGTAAATCATAACTAGTTAATTCTTTCATATGTCTGTAACAATTTTTCTTTTCGGCGTTTTGTTCATAATATTGGAGTATAATCAGGGATGTGGGTTTCTTTTACTTAAAAATATATGGGGCCAAAAAATATATTACGGCCTTTTGGATACTCCTTCGGTTCGACAATTGGAATTTGGTTCTTGGAATCGTTCGTTGCTGAAGATAATATAATCCTGGTGGTAAAAACAGGTTGACAGCCTCTTTTCAAATATACTCACTTCCTTCATGCTGAAAACTATGTTTACAACAATTTAATTACTCTGGTTATTGTTAATGATCCATTAGCTTTTAAGTGAGAAAGTCACTTTTTAATGCGCAAAGATATATATTACATTTATTTATATCAATAATAATTTCAGGTTATCCTATACTTATATATATATACCGAAAAAGAATGATGGTGTAAATGAATATAAAATTTTTTGCAACTTAACACCCAATTTCGGATATGGTGACTGAACCGTTCCAATTCCTATTTAAGTCGTTAATTGGTCTTTGGAGGTTCTTTTTTGCTATATCCATTTTTAATTATTTTAGGAATCAAGGATATATCAAGTTCTAAAGCACTTATTATTGACTTTATTATTCACGCAATGTCAAATATCAAATTATGTGGAATTTTAACATTTCAATTAAAATGTAAATATTTTCAAAATTGACATATGTATGTATTATATTTAATTTATCGTTTATTAGAAGCAAACTGAATCCATCATAGTTCCTAATGACATAACAATATTATTAGACATGACTTCTTCCACACTTTCTTCTAAATGACGCTTTGGATCTTGTTTACCAACATGTCTGGTTTTCAATTGTTCTGGTGTCATCGTTGATTCCTCTTGAACTGATTTATTGTA